CCATCAGAAAAGGTCAGTCTCCACACCGTGCTGGGCATGTGTGTCCATCAGCTCAGGCTCTGGTGGGAGTGTGCCACCGGCGGGAGTCACGCTCACCTCTGGCCTGGGGACGGAGGCTTGGCTGCTGGCTCTTGCACTGCATCTCTCACTGCTCCTCTCCCCCTGCCAAGCTGCAAGGGAAACGGAGGCTCTGTCTCTACCTGTTTCTGCAGTGGCGTGAAAGCTGCCTGCTTGTCCTTCGCCTGTAGCCCAGCAAGGCCATCAAGTGCAGCTTCCTGCAGCCCAGGGCTGCTGGGCAAGGAAGCAAAGGGATGGCCTGATGTCTTGCAGGAAGCCCTGTTAGCCATCCTCATACAGCATGCAGGGGCATGGCAGCCAGGAGCAGAATGCAAAGTGTATTCATACAGAAACTGCACTAATAGAGCATTTTTGTACTGACATCTGCATCCTGCAGGGAGCTGGAGAAGCACCAGGAGCTGGAGTCCCCATAGTGCTTTCTTGGGGGAAGGGGTCCTTTCCTTGCCCCCAAAGGGTGCAGTAATGCAGAAGCTGGAGAGCATCAGGGTGGGATGGGCATTAACTTTTTCCTCTCCCGTTGTGTTTAGATCAAAAGACACCAGAGAGCAAAGGGGTGATCATTGTGGCGATCATTGTCTGCGTTCTGGTGGTGGCTGTGCTGGGGTCTGTCATCTACTTCCTGCACAAGAAAGGCAAGATCCCGTGTGGCCGCGCTGGGAAACAGGACATGTAAGCACTGCCGCCCACCCTCCCAGGGAGCCCTTGGGGCCAGAGGTGCTTGCCATCATTCATGCTTCCCATGTCATTGCACCAGCCGCTCCCTGTCCACTGCGGGGGGAGGCAATAGTGCAGCCTTGGGGGCACCGCACTGGGGTCTCGGCAGCGCTTCCAGCTTCCCACAGCCTGAGGTCTGCATTGCTTGCCCCGTCCACGCAAGGAGGCAATGAGGAGGACAGCAGAGTGGTAGGGCAGCCAAGGGACTCCTCCCCAGGGAGGGGCTGGGCAGCCCAAAGCTCACTCTGAGCCAGAGTCTCTTTCTCTCCTGGTCTTCTGCCCCAGCCCCACTCCAGAGCATCCCCTGAGATGGAGCCCCAGGGCTTGGCCTCGCTCAACCAGCCATGTGCCCTCTTCAGTATTGCAAAAATGTCTCAAAATTGTCACCTCCCTCCCCTAGCACAAAGCCAGAGGCACGTAAAGACAAGATTGTAGTTGAAGTTAAGTCAGATAAACTTTCCGAAGAGGCGGGGCTCCTGCAGGGTGCCAACGGTGAGAAGAGACCTGCCGCTGACCAGGGAGGACACAGCGTTGT